AAATATAATGGGCTGCATCGAAGAATTTTTTTTTTTTGTTTTGTTTTCTTTATTCGATTAGGTGTCTTAGACAAACTCGGTGTATTCGATTATTGAAATTTGAACTCTCTATGTTTTCAGATGAATTAGGCCCTGTGATGATATGATGCAAAACCATACATTTTTCTTTGAAACAGCCATCTGAATATAATACATACGCAGACATTGATGCTGTATATAAATGCCTCAAGGAGCAGTATGGCGTCAAAGACGAACAACTGATACTGTACGGTCAATCTGTCGGCAGCGGTCCCACATCTGATCTTGCCTCGCGTCTCCCTAACTTGAGAGGTGTTGTTTTGCATAGCCCGATTTTATCAGGGCTGAGGGTCTTGTACCCTGTAAAACGTACATATTGGTTCGACATTTACAAGGTAATAAAAAAATTAATAATACATTTTATTGCACCTTTGTTATGTCTTCATCTATTCTATTAGCAAACTAGGGGTGAAAATTGGAACAGAATTTCCGATTTCCGCCGATTCCGATCCGATATTTTCCATTTTGGAATATTATTTTTCATTCTGAATTCTGAAATTTGGATTTTCGATTATTTCCAAAATTATTTGGATCGGAATTGGAATATGTATGAGATTACACTTAAAATACCAATATTACTCTGTACTTTATATTTTAGGTGACAAAAATTTGGAAATTTCCAAATTCCCGATTCCGATCCAAAATTTTCCGATTTTGGAACAATTTTTTTGCTTTCCAATTTCCGGTGTTCCGATTTTTCTAAATTTTTTTCGAACATAATTGGAATTAGTTTTTCATTTCCAAAAAAAAATGATTTTTTTCCGAAAGAGCTAATTCCAGTACGATCCGTCCGAGTTACACTCCTAACGCAAATTGACACACAAGTTCTCTTTTAATAACAGAATATCGACAAAGTCGGTGCAATAAACTGTCCAGTTCTTGTTATTCATGTAAGTTTTCCTTCTGTTTTACGTTTCCATACGTCTTCTTTTTATTCGCCTTTCATCTTAAAATGGTTAATATAATAGTTGAAAGTTAGATAATTCGGTGCTAATTGTGACTTTCACATATTAGGGAACTGCTGATGATGTTGTTGATTGGTGCCATGGGAAGCAGCTTTGGGAGCTTTGCAAGGTAAAGTACGAGCCTGTCTGGATAAAAGGCGGCGGGCATTGCAATCTTGAACTATATCCCGATTTTATTAAAAAATTGAAAAAGTTTATACAAACACTCGGAAAATCAAAACCGTTACTCAATGACTCTGTGGCAACATCACTAGATTCCGACAGTAAGAATAAATCTGGCGAAAGCGATAATAACACGGACACGTTTGTTGAGTTGCAACCAGAAGTTTCTAGAAACAGTTTGGACAGCCGGCTTGACAAGTCGAAGAAGTCAACCAAGCCTGAAAAATCGAGAATGAGTACAGATAACGTCGACTGGTTCAGGAGAAGAAAAGGCTTGATCTGGTGATATAATATTAAATATTTATTACAATGAGAAGCTAATGTTACAACACTATCTATGTCTGTGCGGATTGACAAAGTATGTCTCTACTGGTTGAGCTTTGGCTCCTATTTATTAAATTATATCTCGATTTTTATATCATTCGATCCCGATAAATATAAAGAGTAGTTTTACCCTGTAAAATATTTTGATGTGAGCATATTGTGGTTTTTACTGTTTGATTCCCTCAATTCTGTGTAATTTATTTTTCCAGTGTTTGATTTGATTTTGTTTTGTGATCTATAAATTCAATGAATAATATTTTACCCTCAAAAATATTTATTTTAAGTTTGAAAGACTATTAAAACATATCTCAAGGTTGACTTTAGTCTTATTTGATCATTTGTTATAAAAATATGATATAAACAAAAAATGAACATTTAAAAAAAAAAAAAAAACGTTGAATATTAATAGTTGAATTTTCATTCAAATGTGAGTTGGAAATTTGCAAAGGAGACGAATTCCACCAATGTAGTTTTAGTTTCCGCCTAATCTGTGTGGGGAAGAACTTTCTTGTGTTAATTGTCACTGAATGAAAGTTCAATTCAAAGTCAGCTTTAAATAAAAATAAACTTTGTTTCCACACACTACACAGAGCTGGAGGGAAAGCCTATCTCAAGTCAAGTTCATAACTAAAACCAAATATGGAGCGAAAAATCGATCAAAGAATCCTCCAGTTAATCCTGGCAAGCCTCGTTGTATTACTAGTAATACAACCCTGTCTGTGTCAAAACGATCAGCAGTACGAAACCTGCAGGCAGCCGTTTCGGTGTGGTAGTATGAATACCGAATTAGCGTACCCCTTTTGGGGGGGCGACCGCCCCCCTGCCTGCGGCTATCCAGGATTCGAGCTCAACTGTGGGGGCGATGGCCCCTTGCTCAGCATGCCACCGTTGTTGTATCGAGTCTTCGATTTTAACAACTCCACGCAAACTGTCAGGGTCTCGAGAGGAGATCTTTGGAACAACATTTGTCCACAATTTCTCTTCAACACAACCTTAAATTTTTCCCTCTTCGATTTTTATTCGGCTGCGGATGATCAGAATATTACTCTGTACTACGGCTGTGGCCTGAATCAGTCGCTGCTGACTCCTTCAACGTTTCCCAATCAGTTCAATTGCGATGTGAATGGGACAAACAGCTGGAGTTTGTTTTTTACGAGGGAAGCATCGGGGCTCGGAGATGGGGCCACGTGCAGTAATAGTATCTCTGTTCCGGTGAATCAAAATGCGGCGCGGGATTTGGGAGTGGTCGCGACCACATCGACAACATTACTGCAGTCTGCTCTTGCGAGTGGATTCTCGATCCGGTGGTCGGCGGAGAACGACAGCTGCGATGAATGTGCCAGATCCGGCGGCGCGTGCGGGTACAATCAGGATGCGGCGTCGTTTGCTTGCTACTGCAGGGACGGGCATCGCAATAGCAGCTGCAGCAACGATACTCCACCTGGTGGAGGAAACGGTACGTGTAACTCATTCTTCATTTCTGTTTCTTTCATGTAAACTCTCTTTATTTCCTTCATGTTTGTACTTCACAGAATTGCTAAACTTTTAGGGCATCCTCAACGGAAGTCCTAAATCCACAAATTTGCATATTTTAGAGACTCGAGCAAAACAATCATCATCAATGGAGACTTTACAGAGTCTTCAAATTTAGAGATTTTCGATAAAGTCTCTAACTTTGGGATTTTTTTTTTATACTGTAGAACAATTTTACAGAGCCCATCACTACACATTTTCATATATAAAGACTTTGACGTCAAAATCAGTTTCTACCGAATATGGAGAATCACAACTCTCTCTCTCTCTCCTCTTTTACATGGCCTGCCTAGAAGAGGAGAAAGATTTGTTCATCTCCTTATAATTACTACCTTTCTTCATTCAGGATCTAAACGAGCGCTTTCAAATCTGCACAAGTATATAATAATAGGAGTATCACTCGGTAGCGGTATTGTCATATTATCCATGATCATCTTCTTCTACACCACAAAACAACGTAAAATGCAAAAGCTCGACCAAGAAAGCAATCAAAACGTCGACAAGTTCCTACTCACACATGGTTCCCTCGCTCCAAAAAGATACAGCTATAAACAAATCAAGAAAATAACGAAATCATTTACAGACAAGCTAGGCCAAGGTGGATTTGGCACTGTATACAAAGGCAAACTACCTGAAAATGGTCAACTTGTCGCAGTAAAGATCCTAACCAAGACAAGTGATGACATCACAGAAGATTTCATCAACGAAGTCGCCAGTATAAGCAGAACCTCCCATGTCAACATTGTCAATCTTTTGGGATTTTGCTACGATGGAAAAAACAGAGCTTTGGTGTACGAATTTATGCATAACAAATCTCTAGACAAGTTTATTCACAAAAATGGATCGGTCGATCCTGACCGTTCATTGGGTTGGGAGAAGATGTACGAAATTGCGGTAGGTGTTGCTCGAGGGCTCGAGTACCTGCACAGGGGTTGCAATACGAGGATTGTTCATTTCGACATCAAGCCTCAGAATATTCTCCTCGACGAAGAATTCTGTCCGAAAATATCCGATTTCGGGCTCGCTAAATTGTTCAAGAAGAAGCAGAGTGTATTGGAATCCATGCTTGGGGCAAGAGGGACTATTGGATACATTGCTCCTGAAGTGTTCTCGAGAAATTTCGGACCGGTTTCTCATAAATCCGATGTCTATAGCTATGGAATGATGATTCTTGAAATGGGTGGAGAGGGAAAATTCGATGAAGTCGAGGAAGTAAAATCGAGTGACGACTATTTTCATGACAAGATTTACGAGCGTGTGATAATCAAGAACGAGGGATTGGATGATATTGTGAGGAAGGACGAGGAAGAAGAAATTAGCGCGAGAAAAATGTTGTTGGTTGGGATTTGGTGCGTTCAGACAGCTCCGTCAGATAGGCCGTCTATGACTAAGGTTGTGGAGATGTTAGAAGGAAGTCTTCAATCTATACCTATTCCCCCAAAGCCATTCTTTTCTTCTCCTAAGTTAACTAAATCGCAAGTTTCCTCTTCGTTTTCTATAGATGTAGTAGAGATGGAAAATTCTGTTGTAGTTTAGCCAAAGGGCTGAGAATTTGTTCAAGGGATAATCGGAATTAGAATTATTGTTTGCATTAATTGTATTGGAAATGTGTATGTAAATATGAACATACCTTTCGCATGTGTTGAATATGTTTTCGATGCCGTATCACACACCAAAGAGACTCCAGTGGGTTCACAAAACAACAATATGTGTTGAATGGGCTAATCAGCTTGTCCAATCAATGCCCTTTTTTTCTAAAAGCTCAGCCTGCAAATTTGTGCATCAAGTGAATTAAAATTATAACAAAAAAGACAGGGGGACTGAGATTAATCATCCATAATACTAGGCAGGTGGAAAAAAAATAGCTAACACTTCCAATTTAAGCAGTTGATTAGAGAGATAGGGGTGGAAATGGGACATATCGGGGTTAGCATTTTCAGAAAACAAATCCATTTTTGTCGGAAGTAGAAAACTAATTTCAATTCCTTTCCAAAAAAGTTCGGAAAAATGGGACATCGGAATTTGAAACTTGGTCCAAAATCCAATATTTTAGGATTAGAATCGGAGAAATTCAGAATTTTCATTTTTTTATATTCACCTATAAGTATAATTTTTGGGAAAAAAATATTGGGATTTTCTGAAATTAGAATCTCAGTAATCGGTATTTAATATGTATTCCAGTTCAGTTCCAAAAATATCGAAATAATCGGAAATCGGAATGAAAAATGTTGTTCCAAAATCATAAATATTCAGACTGAAATTGGCGGAATTTGGAAATTCCATTCCAGTTCACCCATAATCAGAGACAGTGCATACATATTATGTCATAATTTAACTATATGTAAAACAAATCTCTAAAAACTTTGAGCAAAGTGGCAAAGAAAAGAAAAGGTAAAGAATGTATATTACCAGCTTGCGTCTTAGATCACCGATTGCCTGCTGTCTTAGACTAGCGAAGAACTTCAGTGACTATTGAAGAGAAAAATCCAAAGGAATGTCAGCCAAATTAAAAAAATATATATATTATATAAAATATTTTTTTTGCTCGAAATATTGATAAGCTAAAATATACTTACTCCAAGTCTTTGGATTTCAACTGACTTAGATAACGCTTCTCGTTTATTCAGTAAATTTATAGATGCTAACTTTGGACGTTTATAGTTTTTCCCACGATAAACAATTATAGCATGGCCTTCTTTAAGTTTAAGAATCGAAACCAATATACCACCACTTTCCGCCTCGACAAATTTAGCTGTATACAAAACCCGTGACAACTTTTTCTGCATTGTAATAACTTTCACGATTTCTCTGTGCTTCCAGTGTTGATGCATTCCTTCTATTACACCATCATAAACCCCACGTCTCCCTGTAATCGTAACATATTATATTAAATGAAAGCATATACGGATAAGAATCAAAACAATAAAGGGAAAAATAAAAACACAAAATTGAATACTAAAAAACATGATAAATGCCCCTTTTGTTTTTTTAATTCTCTTACCAAGCACTAAACAACTATCGGACTTCAATCCCATTTCCCGAAGCAATTCTCTCTCCTCTTCGGATATGGTTTCCACGTCTGGATCTTGCTTGGAAAAACTCGACTCATTTTTCAGTTTGTCTAATACTTTGGCCGATTTCTCTATCTTCTTCTTAAGCTGCAAGCAACATATTATGAGTATCTATTTTACAATTTTTAAATGTGTAAAACAAGAAATAAAACTTACGATAGAGAGCTTTCGTTCTTGATTTTTGAGTTCCTTTTCCAATCTTTCCTTTTCTGCTTCAACTTGAACTTGAAACTCGGTCTCTCCTTTTTTCTCCTTACTGATTTCTGAATGAATACTATGGAATTCTGATAAAGTACCGAGAAATCCGGAGTTATTCAAATTTTCGTCAGTGATAGAAAAGTTTTTGCTTGCTTTTAGTCTTGCGGCTTCTTCTTCGAGTTGGCATTTTGTCAGCTCCATTTCTCGTTCGGCCACTAATTTTGCAACTTCAGGGGGAAGAAAGTCATTCCCTCTATAGAGAATTATCAAGAACTTGTTACGCAGTAAAAGAACTCCGCCAGTGAGATCCTGCATCAAATTAGTAGTAGAATACTTTAAATAATAGATATAACAAAATCAAGAAACAATTTTCATATTTCCAAATTTCTTTTCGGTATAAATTGATACAAAACCAAATACAGAATGATGAACGCATTAAACATACACTAAGCTGACACCTTCTTGTGTTAGAGGAAATTTTTATTGCACGAATAGTATATGACAACGGACACGTAATAGCATAAGTTTGAACATTATTAGAAAATAACGTCGAAATTTTGATCACACTTGCCTTGAGTTCATTAGCCATTTGCTCATTGTCTGTGTTCTGAACACCCCATTTCACAGCAATCTTTGCTATATGGCATTTTTCCCACAATTTCAAGATAGCTACAGCTAATCCTTGCAGCTTCCGGTTTCTTCCTTCAGAGTAAGAAACATTTACAAACATTATAAGAAAAAATGAAAAGAAAATTAATTTAAGAAGCAAACATAAAATAGCAGAGTGTATATGCATGCTAGTGTAATCAACTAAATTTCCGGGATCAAAAAATGAAACTTCCAAAAAAAAAACCCAAACGTAAGACTGCATGAAAATGAAACCTAAATCCAAAGCTAATAATGAATCAATTCAGAATGAAGTTTCACAAAAACGGGAGGAAAAAACAGATACCAAGAACAAAATGAGTGGGTAAAGGTCGAGCAAGCTTCCTCAAATATGTGAGTTCATTGTCTGTAATCTTGGCTCTAGTAGAAGGTGGAGAAAGCCTAAAAGGTGTCTTAAATCCAGGAATAACTTCTGGAAGTAAGTCCCCGTCGACTGGCAAAGGCTTTTGCATCCACCAATCAACAAAGCGTGGGCCCAACCCGTCCAATAATCTATCAGCTTCCCTCTCGTATAGTGATGTCATGTGTATACTGCTTTCCCATTCACTATCTCTTCCATCACAACTTTCTTGGGCAATAGCCGTGGTATTTCGGTAAATATTGCGAAATTGTTTTGGACCGGACTTATAATTGCACCCTCTGTAAACAGCTAGGAATTCTTTATTACTCCAAACGACAAGCCCTCCGGTTTTCATCTGCTTTGACAATAAAGTAATAAATTACGTATGCCAAAATAACAATTTAAGAAGGAAATGAAACCTAAAGAAGATTATAGAGACTGAGAGAAAACATATTCCGTATTCCGAATAATGAGAAGTAACTAAGAATAATGAAACGAATGAACGATTTTCAGAATAATGAGAAGTAAGTAAAACGCGTCACCTCGATGATTTCTCGAGCTCTATCCATATTCCGACATAAAGGAAGATCGAAATTGACCAATGCAAGCTCATTATTTCTCCAAAACAAACTAACTTGATCGACAACAGATTGAGTCACACCAGCTTTCTTAACCTTTACCCATTTCCTTATCAATGCAGCTTCTTCTTTCAACCTTTCGAGCAACACTGGATCGAGGCTCGACTCTGCTGATGTCACTACTTTCTCCTTCTGTACCCTCCTAATAACAACTGTCTCATCACTCTCCCATGGCATTTTTTTCGATTTCGCTTCATTCTCAGCCTCTCCGAAAGGTAAATCGAAATCATCGATTTTCAAATTCCACCGTGCTTCTTTCGTATTTTCCTCGACTTCGCCTTTATCTCCCCAGAGGGCTCCCGGTGCGAATTTGAACTTGAGATTTTCTAGGTTTTTTCCCGGTTCTTCGACATTCTGGGTATCCTGGAGTTTCTCGATGCCTTTATAGATTTTCTTCATCGCTACCTTGCCTCTTGCACCTCCGACTTTTCCGGTCAAATCGACGTCGGGATGTCCGCCGCCGGTATGTTCGCCGTCGTTTCTGCCGGCGGCGAAATGTTTTCTAGTCCTTGTCCTCCGCGATTCGAGGATTTCGCTCGGCTTGACAAGGAGAGGCCCATTCATCCATGGAGCAGTGGGGGCTTTGATTGTTGAACGTGAATGTGGAATATGCTCTGGAGATTCCTTACGAGAATCTCTATTTTCGTGTTCGATTTTTGCGCTGTTGCTGCCATTAGCAACGGAGCTGCAAAAGGTGATGAAACTGTATGTAAAAGGAGCGGAAAGGAAAAAAGCAGATTGAATTTTGTTAGGGCTGTGAGGGAAAGGGGTTATGGCGTTCGAGAAATTGGGGAGAAACGGAGAGGCAGACATTGAATTGTTTTTTTTTTTTTTTTTTTTGAGAAGGTGGATTGAACAAAAAGAAATTGAGATTGAATTTGATTTATTTCGAGGTTTTTCTGTTTGCCGGGGGTTGCAGAGTGGTGGCGCCACCACACCTACACGGTGGTGATGTGAACTGTTGAGTGTGCAGCGTCGTTTTAAGGTGGAGAGCGGAGTTTTACTTTATCTGCTTTCTTTCGATTTGGTAACCGTTTTATCTGCTTTTCGTAATTAGCACTTCCAAAAAAATTCAAATTATTATTAATAAAATTAAAGTATAATTTTTAGAAAAAATAATAATAGAATTTTCAAAAATTAAATTAAACCAGAAATTGGATTCTCATATGCAATCCAATTGCCATCGGAAAAAATAAATCGGAAATCAGAATTGCTGGAAATTCAAAATGAAAAACATTGTTCAAAATCGAAACTTTTAGATCAGAATTGGAGAAATTCATAAATTTTGTTCCAATTTACACCCAGAGTTAAATTTATGGATGAACAAAAAGTAAATATAAGAAATAATATTAATTTTTTTAGGAATATATATATATATATATATATATATCTAAATTATTATTAATTTATTTACCAATTACAAAACAAACCAAAAAAAAAAATCATTTTTTTTTCCAACATATTTTATCATCTGAGAAACAGTTTTTATTAACTTTAAAAAAACATTGAATAATCAGTCTGAGAAAGATTGAAACAAAATACATGAGAAGAAAAGTCATATCACATATGCAACTCAAGTATCTGTCTTTTCTTACCCAGAAAAGTTTCTAGATTGAAAACTTCAACCACAGATCATCAAAATGTACATCGAAAGCCCAAAAAAAAGAAAAAAAGGGAAATCTAAAAACGAACGACCAAATCGAACAGACATTAAATCTTCTTGGCTTCATCTTCGACTGGATCGCGAAGAGTTCCAAACATCCAGTCCATCCATATTGTGTAGTGGCCGTAATTGTGGCGATAAGTGGTGTGGTGTATGGTATGGTATCCTGCACCCATAACAGGCCATAATTTCCCGTGTATGCAGTCATGGATATTCGCTGTCCATATGGCCTCAATGAATAACAGTGCTATGTGTGTAGTGAAATGCGTTGGTATTAGGAAGAGAGCTAGGACGTGGGGTACTGCCTGCAGTATGCCATCGATCGGATGGAAAGCCAAACCTAATCGAAAAAATAAAAATATCAAATCATACAGTTGCAGTGCTTATAGATACAAATCTCGACAGGCTTATAACCTTATTGTCGAACACGTATCAGAATATATAGACGAGTTGAAAATCTTGCAGTTTTCGAATGAGAACAAATGAAATTGCGAAAAAAAAAATTGATTTGAGTACAATAAAGTGTTAATGGCATGCTGCGATTTCACAGAACGAGTAATAATTATTAGTCGAACAAATGAAAACTGGGCATATATAGTGATCATTAATCATTATCTTACTATTCAGACTAAGTTATAGCAAGTGGAAAAAAAGAGGTATATTAAGCATCCTAACAGATCGTAGATGATTATATAATAGAGGTGGTACGAACAAAAAGTACAATACTCGGAACAGAAGAAAAAAAAAAGTCACAAAATCTTGACTTGATCCAAGTAAACTTATAAGCTATAAGTTATTCATGTGATTTGATGAAAAAAAAAACGTCAAAATGAGTATCAAATGATATTTAACAATTTCCGTTTCAAGTCTGTTTCAAAAATATCTCCCTCCACTTGTGCTAAATTTCGTGAATTTCAGCTTTCCGATAAATTATCTAAACTTTATGCAATTACACAATACACATAACTTTAAAAACTCGAGCCTCGTAATAAAGAAAAAGTTATAGATGAGAAAGTGAGAAATACCAGCAAATGGGGAAAGTGTATTTTGCTTGTTGTAGATGTGATGCGTGGCATGAAGATACTTATAGAGAGGTTTTATATCATGCAACTCTCTGTGCATCCAGTATATTCCAAACTCGACAAATACGAGATACACCGCCAGATAACAAAAGTAGGCAATCCAACCGACGTCACTTATCCTCGAAAAGCATTTAGTCCAACCATGTTCGATCATGTACTCCGACATTGTTGGAAGAGCACAGTACCACGGCATAGCTTTCATCGCAACTCCTATCTGTAAAAGCATCGCATTTTTTGAAGGAATCGCATCTGTAATTAATTTAAATTATCAGTATAATATATTGCACTAATCACGTCAACATCGATTATGTACTACAGTGGACTATATATTAAACGTATATCATCTATCAAGGCAAGTGAAAATTCAACAAAAAGTGAAAATGTCAAATGACGACGAGGATAGGATGTGAAACACGTTGTGTATGTCAAATGAGTCGTTTAATTGTTCTGGTGCAAAGAACTAAAGTTGGTAAATTCTCATTACACCGTTAATGTATTCCTTAAAGCAAAATGGTGTCGTGTACTGAAAAATCGAGCAAGACTCCTCCTTTATACTCAACCTATCCTAATCTTTTCCCAAAATAAATTACTTGCACAGTAAACCATGTTCTGAAACGAGTGATTACTAAAGTTGGAAGGATTTGGATTTTCTAGGGAGTTGGTTTGAATGAATAATTTCAAACGACTCCATATAACACGGATCCGAAACCCACCAAAAACGACTCAAAAACAGCTCAAAATAAACGTACATGATTCGAAAAAATAAATTCATCCAAACAAGTTCAATAGATTTGTCATTCTAGATTCAAAATCCTCACCATCAAATTCATCAATCCAAACGAATCCTAAAGTTATACAAAAGTTGCTTTTTGTGAAAGAGGACTAAAATCAAGCATTGAACATGTGTTTATTTAAGTGAAATTCCACAAATCTACGGACTACAGAATCATAAACATAATTCAATCGGAAAACCTTACACACTGATCCATAATTAAACAAAAACAATTGAAAACAACAGGATAAAAATAAAGCTGGATCAAACTAAACTAAAATTCAATTCAATTCAACAATCTAATCAGGAGAAAATTAAAAGGGGGAAAAAGCATGAATCGAAAATAAAACAACAGACCTTTGGGAAGATAGACATTGCGCTTCAAGTAGTAAATATAAAAGCACCATAAGATCCCGGAAATGAGATAGAGCAAGGTGCCTCCAATGTAATTTCGGAGCCATCCTCTGAAGAAGTGAGGGAGTGGGGCCAACCAATTCGCCGGCAACAGCGAACCCAGGACAATGTCGTTGTACCACGACGTTTCCTCCACGAATAACTGCAAGTAATCCTCCATCGCTGAAGAAGCCTCCGATTAACGTTTCCGGCGCCGGAGTGCGGCGGCGATTTGTTTGTGAAGAAGAATGTGGAGGAATTACAGTCCGATGAGAATATCTCTGGAGGGAGAGGGGTGAGTGCGTGTAAAGTGTGTGTGGAGCTGTCTTGTTGACTTCTCAGATGCTTTGGTCACTAAATAATATATATATATATATATATATATGGGATAATTAGTAAGAACCCCCTACATCATTTACATATATTAGGGTGGATATAACCCCCTTTTCATAATTAGTGAGACCCCCCTCTATTAATATTTTAATTTAGAATAAATATAAACCTTTAGTTTTATGTCTGTATTTACCCTTTTACCACATTAAAACCTCAAACCCTATTTCTCTAATTCCTCGTCCAATTTTTTTTTACAAGTCGCCAGCCACGCCTCTCTCTCGTTCTCTCCCCTGCGCCGCTGCTAGTGCTACTCATCTCCACCGAGCCGCCTCTCCGCTTCTACCGTTCCTCATCTCTGCCCAACGTCGCCTCACGGTCTTCCTTGTTTCCCCTCATCTATCTTCGTCTCTGATCCACAGACCGCCGCAATCGCTCCCCCGGCTAAAGTATAGAAAATAATTTAATTTTAATTCGATCGGTAAGAAAATTCTCATCTTTTCTATGGTAGAAAATTATGGGCTTAAAATATTTTATTTTTGTAACTTAATTGTTCATCGAAACATTGAGGAATATTTTGTGATGTTTGTATTTTGTTTGTTATTATTTTTGTAGTTTCATTTACGATGTCTGTAGTTGTTTTTTATTTGCAGGTGTGGACTTTATGCTAAGAATTGCTCCCATTCTTGCATTGTTGTTGGTGGTGCCGACGACAAATCTCCGTAAAAGTGGAGATGAAAAAGTGAAGGGATAGAAAAGGTGAATGGTGGATCTCGTGCCTAGGGTTTTAGAGCGTGTCGAATACTTTTTGAATTTTTGTTTTGAGATGTTTTGTGATGTTTTTTTGATTAAATTTTGCATGAATTCGTAGTTACTTACAGGCCGATCGAGGAACAATTTAATAGTTGAGTTTAATATTTTATAGTTGTTTTCTATAGTTTATAGTTGTTTTCGATTTTTTGTAGTTGTTTTCGATTGCTAGTTGATTTCGATTGATTTTGATGTTTATATATTTGATTTCGTTAATTTGTAGTTGTTTTTATTTCAAGTAAACTCTATTATTGTAAACCACTATTTTTTGTGTTTGTTTAGAGTTTTCTTATAGTTGATTTGGGGAAAAAAATCGATTTTTTTATAGTTATTTTCAGTATTGTTGTAGTTTATTATGAAAAAATAAGCCAGAAAAAGAAGAAACACAACGCACTTTTATTTGATTTTCGAAAATAGTTGTTTTACAATTTATAGTTGTTTTTTTTATTAAAAAATAGTTGTTTTGTAATAGTTGTTTTACAATTTATAGTTGTTTTTTTATTAAAAAATGGCAATAAAATAGTTGTTTTTCTTGAAAAAATGCCAAAAATAACTGGAAATTAAAATTAAGAAAAATAAAATAAAAAAATTGAAATTATAGTCGATTTCAGAAATATTATAGTTGGTTTCAGAATCTTTATAGTTGATTCCGACACAAAAAAAAACGGAAATTAAAAAAATAAAA